AAGAAAATGTCCTGTGCTGATTCATAAAGCGGAGAAATACATATGCCCCTGAATCAAACAATGATTTTTGGACAACACATTTTTCTACCTTAAAAGATTTAAGAATGGGCACGGTAAAATAGAAAAGGAAGAGAAAATGATTGCCAAAACATCCACATCAGAAGAAAGCTGAAAGCTGTGAACCATGGCTGACTTGTAGGACTGGCTTGTAGTCTGCACTTGACCATAGTTCTGGAACTAGTTAGGTTGTATTTTGGTTATCACTTATACCCAACACTTAAGAATTAGAGCACTTATTATTCCTGACCCACAAAATCCTTCTATGGGTCAAGTAGTATTATTCTATGCAGTTCAGGAGTACAATGGTGAACAAGACACAGCCTCTGACCTCAAGGGGTAGTAAAGGAGACAAAAAGAAAATAAACATAATACAGGGCATTATGTACTATGACAAGGGAAGTGTGGGGGCTAAGGAAGTCCAACAAAAGGTACTTAGCTATAAACAAGCTTATTTCACTTGTGGTCTCATGAGGTGTTAATCCCCAATGAGACTGTAAGCTCCCTGAAGACAAGAGCCACCTTTTATATGTCTGCATATATTCCAATGCCCAGATCTGTGCCATGTCCACAGTAACTCATCACAAAACGTTTGTTAATATCCTGACTGATAAAAACTGAAACGAAATGAGGCTGTAAGGGTACATAGTGTACTTGTATTATTTTTTGCCTCCTGCAGAGGTTCTTGGTTGCCCATTTGTACATTAAGCTATCACCACCAATAAACAAGCATGTCCTATGTATTGGAGCCCTGGTGGTGCAGTGGTTAAGAGCTCAGCTGCTAACCAAAAGATCGACAGTTTCAATCTACCAGTCACTCCTTAGAAACCCTATGGGGCAGTTCTACCCTGTCCTGTAGGGTCACTATGAGTTGGAATCGACTCGATGGCATAGGGTTTGGGTTTTTGGATATGTACCATTTTATGCTTACTAAGAAATATGTGTAGCAAGAGCAATAGGGCTTTGATTCCTTAACATGCAAGAACTCTGTGGTGACTTGATTCTTCCGTGTTGGCTAGTGGTGCAATGTAATAATAAGTAGGGGGTTGGCTCGGCCATTTAGTAGCTGTTACTTAATCTCTTGAAACTTTTGATTCCTCAACTTGGAGCAAGATTGATGTTCCCTCCTGCCTCACCCATTATATACATTTTTGCTTTATAACTAGTTGGGTGTGGGGGACGATATAGCACCCAGACTATTTATAAATTGATGGGGTCTGGCATGACTTCTCTCTATGCTTCTGTTGTTCCACAGTAAATTCCTAAACACTACGGGATTTCGGTCCCAATGAATTTTTCCCTCAAAAACCAAACAGGGTAATAATGAACCACTTCCCTGCATTTTCTATCAAGATAGCTCTTTATAAGTTCTGAATGTTCTGTCCAGATTCAAAGAAGCTGGTTTCTTCATGAGTGGTTGGAATAAGACTTTTCTTGGAAGCTGCTGAATATGGATTAGTTGGATTGTTTCACAAGAAATAAAAAGCAGGCTCTGGGGTGACCACTTTAACACTTAATTGGGTTAGTAAAGAAACTGCAAATGAGAGGTTTTCCTTAGGAGGGAAAAGATGTTTACAGTCCCCACCCCCCTAGGTGGTGGATTTTAACCTAAACTTTAGTCTTCGAATGCAGCCTTTAATTTAGGAACCATTACAAGAATCTATTAGAGCAGAAAATGTCAGGTTGAAAAATTAACACATGACAGGAGTTAATTAGAACCCAGCCTCTCATAGACGCAAATGCAGAGCTCTCCAACTGCCCAAACAGTTTGCTGAAGTCATGTTTGTGGCAGCTTTACAGTGGCTGCATCTTTACTACTGTAACGGTGGAACAAGGAGGCTGCCCAGGCACTGAGACCAGAGGCACTCAAGGGCCAAGGCCTGCCCTTTAGGTTAACTATTCAGGTGTCCCTATCTTCTCCTCTCAGGAAATGCTCCGAAGGTCGAGGGGTGGATATGCCTCTGCTTGGAACTCCCTCAGGGAACTGTTTTCTGTAACAAAGACAAACATGCCATGCCTGTCACCAGGGGCAGACTGTCAACTGTGTAAACCACTCTGTGAGAGGGAGGCTAAGGGGCTCCAGTCCATTCAGACTTAGCTCTATGTCTTGGTCTTTGTTTTCCTTCCACATTCAGACTGAAATGTGATTCCCCTGCCTTTCTTTTTTGGAAAATACCTGCGACTAGCTCCTTGCCAGGAAAGAAAAGCTGTTGACAGGAAAAGCTTCTGATGGGGAAGGTGCTTCCTCGAGTGTTCTGAAAGGAGACAGTTGCTTCAAGCATGCTGAGGCTGGGATGCCAGGCCTAGGAATGACAGGTCCAGATCACAAAGGGTCATCTTTAACTATGGATTAGGCTGGGTGTGAAGCAGTTTCCTCTGGGAGAGCAGTACTGTTACTTTAGGACCAGGTAGACATGTGTCTGAATCCTTCTCCAACATTTACTGTCTAATCAGGCAAACTGCTTGACCTCTCAGAACATTAGCTTTCTCAATCTGTTGTGAAAAGTAAACGAGATAACGCATGTAGAGCATGTAACATAGTATCTGACACAGAGTAAATGTTCTATACCAGCTGTTACTGATTTGACAACAAATCACCCAACACTTTTTGTGTTCCCTCTGTGTGTGCCAGGCCCTGTGTGGGAGATAGGTTCTCCTCCTTGCCCTCATGAAGTTCATGGTCTAATAAATCACATACACATATCTTCAGTACAAAGCAAGTCCTCCTCCCTACCCTGCAAATGCCCTAGGAGAAGTGCCAATTACATACTAACTCCACTTTGTTGAGTAGCTCAGAATCCTGCAACTCATCACCCTCTGAGTAATCATCCAAACCCAGCTATCTCTAACTCCAATTTATGCACAATTCTCTATCCACACTTATTATCTTATCACACTCAGTTACAGTTTTTTGTTTATTCTTTGTTTTCTCCTGTGAGGTCCTGGGCACGGGGGTCACTGTTATTCATCTCTGTAGCTCAATCATCTTGTCTCATGCATTACTCAACCCTGGTACACAGGAGATACTCAACCCTACTGCTTGACTACGTAGATTTCCAGTTGGGAATTTTTCTGGGGGAATAACCTTGCCTCCATCTTCGAAGGGCCTCCTTTGTGCCCTGGCTTGGTTGGTCCTGTCATTTTCTAACTCTCACTTTGGGTCCAGCCTCAGTTTCCTCATCTTTTTAAAGGGGCTAATAAAGCCTCCTTTACCTTCACTGGGAGGTTTTGATGACCAGCAGGGACAAGGCAGCTTGTATATGCCCAACACAGTTCTACACACAAAGCCAAATACCAAAAACATTGACTCCACTCTTGCCCTCAGTATAAGAAAATCTAGTTGCTAATATAAGAAAACTAAAAATACAAGACAGAATATGAGCACCATGTGAGTGGTTTAGACATCATTTCAACTTGTATAGGGCCCCTGCCATGTGCCAGAGACTCGACTGAAATGGGAGGATATAAAACTACATAAAGACTTGATTCCTGTCACTCAGCCCCAGGAAAATGGTGGCAAGTAATGGACAAAAGGATCTCAGGAAGAGAGCAAGAAGCCTGGTACCCACATACTCGGGCCTGGGCTGTCATGGAAGACATTTTGTTGCCAGGCTGGGAAGCAGGAGATTGTCCCACAGTTGTACAGAAAACAACCACCAACACTACCAAATTATTCAGCATATACTATGTGCCAAATGATTTACAGGCATTACCTCATGTACCTCAGAATAACTGTGAGGTAGATATGAACTTCCCTGTTTCATAGAGGCTCAATTTGAGGCTCAGAAAGACACCGCAGTTTGACCACAGTGAAGTAACAAGTAAAGGGTTTAGAAATCCACCTGCTGATAATTCCACTGGCCCGACTGGAAAGTAGAGAGGGTGGACCAACACAAAGCCCCAGGGTACTGGGAATGAGATAGGGGAAAGTTGGATCGCAACTCGGGTCGCGTGATTCCCAGATCCCCAGGACCCTGAGCAGCAGAATAAGGAAGAAACGGGGGCAGCTTGCAAGGAAGGGGTGTCCAGGAGGCTGGGGGAGGAAAGCTCCGGTGGTTGTGCGCCTTTCTCGCTCTCAGTGCACAGGTCAAGCCTCTCCCCTTCCACCCTCACACCCTCCCAACCTTATTTAGAAACCGTGTCCCCGAGACAGGAAGGGCGGCGGGCCGAGAAGCACGGAGCGTCCCGGTCTCATTTCCTTTCGAATCCCCCTGTGGAATTTCATTTCGTACAGTGAAGGAAACCGGAGCGCGAGACCGTCGGCTAGTCCGGGGCGCCTCCCCCACTGCCGGCCCAAAGCAAGCAGCTCCCGGGCGCAGGTCGGACCGCGTCTGGAGGACAGGAGAGGGGCCGGGCTCTGACCAAAGCGAGTTGGGAGTGAAAATAGCTGCGAGCTCTGGCTGTACCAGGCATGGTGCTAAGCGTTCCACGCGTTACCTCTAATCCTCCCAAGTCACTTTATGCATGAGGAAACTAACGCCGAGAGGCTGGGCAATTTGCTCAAGGTCACATAGCCGGAATTTGAAGCCAATCCCACGTTCTTTGTGTGTGTTTCTAAGCCTGACGGGGAGGTGGCCACGGGCCGAGGTGACAGCTGGAAGAAGGAAGGGAAAGGGGCAGAGCGACCAGGCAGCATCTCTCACCTGGAAGAGGAGGGGACGGACCTGGCTCTATCCCCGCCTGGCCCCAGCGCGTAGCGCTAGGGGTGGGAGGAAATTGAGCGCCGGGAAGCGGGGCGGGGCGCTCCGGGGAGGGAGGGAGAGAGGGAGGCAGGGACAGAGAAGGGGGGCTGGCGGGCAGGGGCTGACCCTTCCAGCGGGAGAGCAGCCCCGCCTCGCAGCCCCGCCCGTCGCCGCCCGCGGCGCCCGGCCATTGGAGAGGCGCGCTGTCTGTCCATCCCTGCCACCGCCCAACGAACCTCCTGCGCCGCGGAGGGCTCGGGCGGTGAGAGCGGCGCGGTGCTGGGTGCTGGCGGGCTTAGCCGAGACAGCGAGGCGACGCGGCCGGCGCTGGGTTGGGCGCTCGCCCCTGCAACCATGACCCTTGCAGTCTGTACCTCGGCCCCGGCCCGGGGCATCTAATTCCCCTACACAGTCGGGTGCAGCTGCCGAGGAGCCGGCCGCTGCCCGTTCGTCGCCCTTGGCGCCTTATCACACTCCCTTACCAGAGCTGAGAGCAGCGCGGGCAGCCGGCGCCCCCGTGCAAACTGGGGGTGTCTACTGGAGTAGCCGCCGCCGCTGCCGCCCCCGGCTCTGGCCATGGCCCGGCGGGGCGCGGAGCCGAGAGTCCCGGGGGAGCCCGGGGGCGTCGGGCTCAGTTTGCGGCTGCTGCTGCCGCTGTTGCTGCTCTTGGGGCCGGCGCGGGGCTTTGGGGACGAGGAGGAGCGGCGCTGCGACCCTATTCGCATCACCATGTGCCAGAACCTCGGCTACAACGTGACCAAGATGCCCAATCTGGTGGGGCATGAGCTGCAGACGGACGCCGAGCTGCAGCTGACAACCTTCACGCCGCTCATCCAGTACGGCTGCTCCAGCCAGCTGCAGGTGGGCGCCCCCCCTTCCCCAGTCCCTACCCCTGACGGGACCTCTTGGACTGGAACGTCCCAAACTAACTACGCGGAACCCTTGCCAAGTAGAGCCCCCTGCCCCCTTCCTAGCTGAAGGGTAAAACTCCTGGAAAAGTGATTTCCATCCCCACCCCCACTTTTCTGTCCCTTCTCAGGGACTGGAAGCCAAAACGTTGTGTAAGTCATCTGGCCTGCGAAAGAACCCACTTTTACACCCCGCCCTTCCGCTTTTCTCCCCTGCCCACCAAGTCTGGCCAAGCCCCTAACCCCAGTGGAGCGGAGGGTTATCTTTGCCAAGGATTCCGGCCGCCGCTGCTGGGTGGGCGAGTCCCCGGCAGAGCAGCCAGCTGTAGCTAAGACTTGGAAGGAGAGAGAAGGAGACGTGAACTTCTCCTCTCTTCCATGTCCCTCTCAGACCTCTGTTCTCCCCCCATATTTTTGGGTGGGTTATTAAATGTAACACCACTGAGGAATGGCCCCTCTTCGCGTGATCCAGTACGATTTTAGAAGTCACGCAGGAAGGAATGGATAGGTTTAGTCCTTTCTTATCCTCAGGGTTGAGGGCAGGTTTACTGCTTGGAGGAAGAGAAAACACAACTTGGGAAAAATGTGATGGTGTGGTCAAGCTCCAGGAAGGTAGTTTGTACACTGGAAGAATTTTTCTTTTTTTTTTGCAGTTGTTAAAAATTTTAAAGCTTATATAATATAGAAAATGCTCGTCATACAACAATAAGTGAAGAAAGAATTTGCATACACAGTGTGATAATATCTTGCAAAAACAACCAGTGTATTTTTTAAAAGACTGAAAAGAAATTTTAAGAAGTGTTAACATTGGTCGTGTTTTGGTTGGTGAGGCTCTGAGTGATCTTTAGAAATTAGAAAAGCAAGAAGTTGAGAAAAAAAAGAGTGTAGTTGTCCAGGCTAAAAGCTTCAGAAATCTGTGGTTCTGGCTGTAACTTCTGCAAGATAAGAAACAGACATGCAGCTTACTTACTAGGTGCACGTTTTTACATAGATCATTTTAAAAGTTAGATTGCGGTTTTGAAAAGATGGTTGGGATTAGACCTGTTGCTGGTGAAATGTCCCTTTTGGAAGTTTCAGAACTTTGGAACTAGGTTATAAAAGCCTAAGAAATGATCCTCTAGCTCTCAGTTTGGAAACAGCACATATCCTGACATCAGTGGCAATTTTGTTGGAGAAACAGCTTTTGCAGGGATATATATTTTTAATTACATGTATCCTGGGGAAGCAGCCAAGCTGTTTTGAAGGACAGAACTGGATCCCTTTACATGCTGGAAAATAGTTCCTTGTAACTCTAGACTTCATAGACAACATCTGTAAGGAGCCAAGCAGACTGTTTATCAATGCTGGAGGAATTGAGGACAGCAACTGGAGTCTCCTCTGATGGTATTACAGTTTGTAGGGACTTAACATTTACATTTTCCTATTGTGCCTCATTATTATTCACTGAGGAAACCTGGCCAAACCAACCCCTGGTGACCAGAGACCTCAACCTGCCTCACATCTTTGCGTCAGTTTCCCAGTTAGGACATTTTCTGTTTCAATATGGATCTGATTTAAAAAAATAATAATAAGGGATAAGGTAGAAAACAGAATATTAGCAAAAGAAATAGTCTACATTTTCTAGTATTTATTTTTATGTAGATCAAGGAATGGAGATGAAAATAAACCACTCCATCACCAAAATGATTAGTCTGTTCAGCCCTTTCCAATAGTAGCTGAAAGGGGAGGGGGCCTGAAAGCCAATTTTTTAAGGTTTATTTCCTTACACCTTGTGTGGAAAGGGATTATGTAATTCTTATTCAAACCTTTTATTATTTATTTACTTATTTTTGTTCGTCTAGAAAGTATTACTAGAATAAAACTAAGAAAAGTGTGTAAATGATGGGTTATTAAGCACACTCGTTTGAGGTCACAGTAAATAGTCATACTCCATATAGGCTGGTTTAAAAGTAGGTATGTACATTGCCTGGAAGCATTCAACTCAGTTTTGTGCAAGCATTTAGTCAAACTTCCAACTCATTGTTTTCTTTGTTCATTTCATTACTTTTCCAGTTCTTCCTTTGTTCGGTTTATGTGCCAATGTGCACAGAGAAGATCAACATCCCCATTGGCCCATGTGGTGGCATGTGTCTTTCAGTCAAGAGACGCTGTGAACCAGTCCTGAAGGAATTTGGGTTCGCCTGGCCAGGGAGCCTGAACTGCAGCAAATTCCCACCACAGAATGACCACAATCACATGTGTATGGAAGGACCAGGTGACGAAGAGGTGCCCTTACCTCACAAAACCCCCATCCAGCCTGGGGAAGAATGTCACTCTGTGGGAACCAATTCTGATCAGTACATCTGGGTGAAAAGGAGCCTGAACTGTGTTCTCAAGTGTGGCTACGATGCTGGCTTATATAGCCGCTCGGCCAAGGAGTTCACCGATATCTGGATGGCTGTGTGGGCCAGCCTGTGCTTCATCTCTACTGCCTTCACAGTCCTGACCTTCCTGATCGATTCCTCCAGGTTTTCCTACCCTGAGCGCCCCATCATATTTCTCAGTATGTGCTATAATATTTATAGCATTGCTTATATTGTGAGGCTGACTGTAGGCCGGGAAAGGATATCCTGCGATTTTGAAGAGGCAGCAGAACCCATTCTCATCCAAGAAGGACTTAAGAACACAGGATGTGCAATAATTTTCTTGCTGATGTACTTTTTTGGAATGGCTAGCTCCATCTGGTGGGTTGTTCTGACTCTCACTTGGTTTTTGGCAGCAGGACTCAAATGGGGTCATGAAGCCATTGAAATGCATAGCTCTTATTTCCACATTGCAGCCTGGGCCATCCCTGCAGTGAAAACCATTGTCATCTTGATCATGAGATTGGTGGATGCAGATGAACTGACTGGCCTGTGCTATGTTGGGAACCAAAACCTTGATGCCCTCACTGGTTTTGTGGTGGCTCCCCTCTTCACTTATTTAGTAATCGGAACTTTATTCATCGCTGCAGGTTTGGTGGCTTTGTTCAAAATTCGATCAAATCTTCAAAAGGATGGGACAAAGACAGACAAGTTGGAAAGGCTGATGGTCAAAATTGGAGTCTTCTCAGTACTGTACACGGTTCCTGCAACCTGTGTGATTGCCTGTTATTTCTATGAAATCTCCAACTGGGCACTCTTCCGGTATTCTGCAGACGACTCTAATATGGCGGTTGAAATGTTAAAAATTTTTATGTCTTTGCTGGTGGGCATCACTTCAGGCATGTGGATTTGGTCTGCCAAAACTTTTCATACATGGCAGAAGTGTTCCAACAGATTGGTGAACTCTGGGAAGGTAAAGAGAGAGAAGAGAGGGAACGGTTGGGTAAAACCTGGGAAAGGCAATGAGACTGTGGTATAAGGATAGCCAGCCTCCACACGGTCCTCATTTTGATAGGGGGAATACTAGCATTTCGGTGGAAATGCTGCTGAAAATTGTATGCAATAAATCTCTTTTGAACAAACAAGCAACCCTTAAGCTAGCCCCCGCCCCCACCTCTCACCCCCCAGCATCCTAAAAACAATGATTTTGCTGCAGACTTTGGAATGATCCAAAACGGAAAAGCCAGTTAGAGGCTTTCAAAGCTGTGAAAAATCAAAATGTTGATCACTTTAGCAGGTCGCAGCTTGGAGTGTAGAGGTCCTGCTTAGATTCCAGGCAGTCCAGGGCGATGCTGCTTTTCCTTGCAGGGTGGGATTTGGGCCATGAGTCAGTAACTTGCAGGGAGAAAGAGTAACTTTTTTCACCCTTTTAAAATTTAAATACTAACTGGGTCTTTCAAATAGCAAAGCGATCTATAAACACTGGAAACGCTGGGTTCAGAGACGTGTTACAAGAGTTTGTAGTTTGGCTGGTCTGACGTAAACATCTGTGGTGCACTGCTGTTTAGAACTGTGTGGATCGCACTCCCCAGAGGTGGTGTCAGAATCTTTCAGTGCCTTTGTCATAAAACAGAATGGTTTGGACAAACAAAAGTACTGTACAAACACACCTAAGGTATCCAGTGGATTTTTCTTCTCTCTGTCCCTCTTTTATTTCAGTGTCTCTGTGCTAGGCTGCTGCAGTTTTCTTCGTTTTACATTCATGACTCAAAAAAGATGTTTTTATAGGAATTTTTGCATTGTGTCATGCCTAATGAGGGGAAAATGAAGGGTGATTCACTTTCTGACAATCAGTTTATTCAGAGGAAAATGAGATTTACCAAGTCTACTTACCTTACCAACCCCAGAGACCTATTACATTGAGCAATTGAGATTTAATATATTTTACTTTGTGTGATTGCATCTATGCAGACGCCCGTCTGGAAGAGCTAATATGTTAAATTTCTTGGCAACTTTGCATTCACACAGATTAACTGTGTAATTTGTGTGTGTCAGTTACAATTAAAAGCACATTCTTGGACCATGACATAGTATACTCACTGACTTTAGAACTATGGTCAACTTGCATTCTCAGAACCATAGTGCCTTTTTTTTCCTTTAGCATAAGAATGTTATCAGAGTCTGGTCTACTTACAACAATGGAGACTGTTTCAATTTTGTGAAGGGAACTAAGGACAGCTAATCCAACTGCTTGGTGCATAATCATTTCCTTGTAATTGGCAAAGGTTCCTTATAAGATTTCCTCGGAGGCAGTGTGGCCTGGAGTATTTATATGGTGCTTAATGAATCTCCAGAATGCCAGCCAGAAGCTTGATTGGTTAGGGAATAAAGTGTAGACCCTATGAAATGAACTGCAAACTTCAGCAGCACTGGTCTTAATTGCCTTTTGTGGAGGTATCCAAAGCCTTTCATATTTATGCTTTACGTTCCTCACAAGGGGGTACCCCCTAGCAGCCTCTCAAAAGTTTCAGTGCTTTTAAAATTGTAACTGGCCTCTCTATTAACCCTCCTTGGGCCTTCTAATCGCCAGATCTCTGGGGCAAATTGTTGACAATGTCACAGGTTGCTCCCCTTGCAGCTCATACCTGTCTTTGCTTCAGTTCTTGCTTTCCAGTGACTCATTTATTTATTCATGCCTTTTTTTTTTTAAAAAAAAAGCAGGTAGGAAAGCTCTCTTTTATCATTCTTTGTGGAGAAGCATTTCCAGGGTCTCAAAATTCCAAATAGGTGGTCAAATTCTGGAAATAAGCATGGTTTTTTTAGGGGGAGTGGGGTGAGATTTTTATGCCCATGGTTTGCCATTTCCTCTCCTTCTTTTCTCTTTGTTTTTTTTGTGGTTGTTGAGCTGTCTGAGATGAAGATGCATATAAGGTCTGTTGTGTGGTTTGGAAGGGAAAGTCTTAGGGCTTTTGAGGCAGAAGCTAAGTGGGCACAGATGGCCTGTGCTGCTCTCTGCCGAGCCTGAGTAGCTTGGCTGGACTCTGGGCCAGAGCTCCTGGAGCATGAGAAATGGTCCCCGGAAGGCCAGTTTAACTCCATCTGAGACTACATTGCCTACGAAATGCAAAATGTGAGCTCGCTGGGCTGCTTGCAGGCAGTTCCCATAACTGCCCAGGGCCCTGGAGCATGCACCCAGGGGCAGAGCCTGCCCTTACTCACACTCCACTCTAGTGCCTTGGGAGTGGGGCAGAGACTTTGGCCCAGGAAGCAAAGGACCATGTAGTGGTGGACTGGCCTTGCTGTTAGAGTATCGGGTTTGTAAGGCAATTTTCCTTGTAATGTTTCAGTGATTGTACGACCAAGGCAGCACCTAGCAGAGGCCTGGGCATGGGGTATTCAGTATTGTGAATGAATAAATAATAATAATAAAAGAGCCCTGGGCACGCAAGCTCTGGAGGTAGTGCCCTGACAATTTCTGGGTTTTAACAGGTCTGTTCCACAAATCTCTTTCCTTCCCAGAGGAAAGTATATTTGATCCAAGTGGCCTGTTGGTGCAGACTGGATTAGTAGCCTTAGCAATGTCATAGGGTTATAGGCCTTTCACATTCCAGACAATGGAGAGTGTTTACGGTTTCAGGAAAGGAACTTTGTGGCTAAGGAGTCAGTTACCAATTACCTCAGAGCAACTCCGTCTCCTCTTGAATTGGTATTTGCTTTAAAAAAAAAAAATAAAAAGTCATTTACCAGCACATTTATTGAGTGCCAATGTGTGTAAAATCCTGTATTAGGCACCTTAGGGGGTGTCACAGAAGATAAACATCTCAGTTCGTTGGTGACAGCTCTGTTCTTCTAACTGACCTAGGCTGGTAATGCTCTTGGGTCATCTGAACTTTGCTGTTGGTTTAGTAAAGAAGAAGGGGCCTCTGCAATTTCCGTCTGTTTCATCGTCTCCATCCCATAAACCTTCTTGGGTCCGTCATGTCATCTCAGGATTTTTTCCAAATCAGTTGAAGGGGTTTTGATAGAAAGCATCCACTCTGCTTCATGACAATCTCTGTGGAAACTCCTAAAAAGAGTATGAAAATAGGCTATGAGGACCTGCGCTCCCAAATCTAATATGGCTTTTTTGGGGACAGATGATTTGCAGCTTGGTGTATTCCATGTAACTTGTGTAGGTAACCTTGAGGACAGCATCTTGCTAAGGAAAAGGTTAAGGTGGCTTTTCTGTCTGTGAAATCGGAAACAAGTAGATATAATTATCACTTCCTAAAAATTCCTTGACCTCCAGAGATTTTGTTAAGTGGGGCCCAAGTTCACCTCTGTCAAGCCTTCTCTCTGGCAGACTCCTTTCTGCTGCTTCAGAAAGGCCAAACCTCAGGGAAGAGGAACATGGGTTAGGGTGGAACTGGCGAGAACCATCTGGTTGAGCTGCTTGGTTGATTCATATCCTTTTTCCTTTTTGGAGACCCATTTCCTGATCTCTGAGACTGCTTGTGTCGGCGGCTTGCTCAGGGGCCTGAAACCGAAGAAGAGGTGAAACATTTTATTTCCCTGAGATGTCCTCTGACTTTCCTGGGTCACTCTCTCCCGACCCTCCCTATCCCCAGAATGTGGGACACTTCTGTCTCTAGGTTCTGAATTATGATGCTGCTTAGCACCCCTAGCTTTCTACTCTCTGGCCACCTTAACCTCCTGGCCACTGGATTAAGTGCTTATTGCTTTGGTGACCCAGCTGGAACTTAAGGACACAAGGATGAACTCGACATTCTCAGCGCAGAGGGGCAGACTCAATTTAAAGGGATTTCGCTAGGAAGGTATAATCTTTGGCTTATGGTGAGGTGGCCCCAGCAGCAGTTAGGAACAAAAGCCACGAAGGACACACTTTTGAAGGAGCCCCTTAGGATCACCCTGTATCCTGAATTTGGTTCTGTGGTGGAGGGCATTGGAGAGAGTTGCTGGTCCAGACAATTATGCCAAATCACAGGACTCTGACAATTCTTTTTGCTCTTTTACTATTTTTGAGGTCAGAATCCCAGTCTGGGTCTGTATTATGTCTGACAAAAGACCTGGGTTATCGTTTTTCCTTGGACTAGGTTGCAGATCTTGGAAACTCCTAGGAGGGCATTTTGCTCCTATCAAGGATCAGACACTATAGCCTTGAATAATGGATTTTGTTTCACTGCAGCCTGGTTAGAGCTCTCTGGTGCCGCCTCTTGCCGTGCACACATGCAATAATGGCATGTTGTCAGTACCAGGAGGGAGGTGAAACAAGGGTCCCCTGGTAAGCCGCCTCCCCTTGGTAAGCCCCTTGCCAGTTTCTGTATCTGATTTGCCTTGTTTCCTTTCTTCATCTTTGAATCAGCAAATTCCTAGTATTCACCCAGGCAATTTGTAGAGGGCCTACCTGGGGTCCTATATGAGCCATGTTCTCAAAGCTTTTGTATCTCCTTGATCTCCTATAGTGTTCAGTACATGACCACTGTCATCCCAGAAGGCTTCTGAGAGTAGAGGGAAGAGCAGCCCTGCCCTGTGGAGACTGGGTCCTCTCTTTCCCAGGCTGTGGAAGTTCCCAAATCCTGTTCACAGGCTCTGGCCCTGACTTGGCTGTGGGCTTTTGGGAGAGGTAAGCTGCCTCCTAGGTCTCTCCCAGTGGGGCATGTAGGGGTTCTGGAGTTTTTTCCTACCTCACAGGGATGTTGTGAGGCTTTAGAAGGTCTAAGGCTCAAGGTCTCTTGAGCTCTTCGTAAGGAAGGTGGAGTGAATTATGAGGTGCCATCTATGAAAAGATACAATATGATTCAACCTGCTCTGTGCAGCAGCCACACTAGTTGTTTGTGGCCTTGTATCCTCATGCTCCTCTACAGCTCCAGCCACCTTGATACCAACCTGGGACTTTCAGATGTTTGACATAGAGATACCAGGCAAACTCCTGTTACACATGCCCTGAATGAATTGCTGAACTTCAAAGGAAATGGACCCTGCTTTTAAGGATTTACGAAAGTATGTCTGCATTGACGTCTGTACTGTAAATTTCTAATTTATCACTGTACAAAAAAAAATAAACTTTCCTATTTAACTTTTGTATCAAAGGAAAATAAAATTTTGTTTATTAACTGGTGTGTGATTTGACAATATCCCTGAAGGTGTATGTTTGTCCTTGGGAAGCATACATACCCAGCAGTGAGAAATAGAGGATTCAGTTTGCAGGGCAGATTGAGAACTGCTTTCTGAGAGCCTCTTTGTTTCTTTTTTGCTGGAGCTGTTTTTCCCCTCTGGGATTTCTCCTAGGTCAGCAAACCCCTAGAGTCCAAGGTCAATGGAATTTATCACTGCTGTGGTCATCAGTAACACTCAAGTGGGTCACATTATGCTTTGGACATAACTAGAGTTCTCAAGCTGTCATCCCAATGAGTCCTCATTCTGGCATTTCCAATACGTGTGTCCATCTTTATAAACCTTCCAAATGCCCTTGTCTCAGTCTGGTGGCCTGAAGAAGTTTTCCCATCACTGCTAGCACTTTGGTCTCTTAAATAAGGAGACTTTTTCCTTTTTATTAACTTCAGATTTTTTTTTCCCCTGGCTACACAATGGTTCTGGTTTTATGTAAAGACATGGAAGTACACCAAGTCAGGCAGGAAAATGGCTTCTCTAGCTAAGTTTACAAGTTTGGGTGATCTCTGTCCCCCATATCCAGAGAAATCATTGGACAAATTCAAAGCCATTATCAGAACAGTGTCATGGGAGCACGATACATGGACCACACAGACACGAAGGAGAGACGCCTGACATGGCGAAGTCTGCTGATGCCCCAGATGAGAACATCAACCTTCTTGGTTTGCCTATAAATTGCTTTCCACCTGTTAGCTTCACCTGAGTCCCACCCTGTTTTGGTGTAAGTAAAAAGCCCAGTGAACAAGAATCTGCAATACTATTTTCCTTATCTGCAGATTGCTAGTGTATTTTTATCTCAAGCAATTGATGAAGGGAGGTATATGATTTAAATTCTCTGTAAGGTATGCTGTTTCTCATTCCATTTCTTCCTCATTAAGTAGTTATGTTGTTGTGTGCTGTCGATTCTGACTCATAGCGACCCTGTAGGACAGAGTAGAGCTGCCCCTTAGGGTTTCCAAGGAGTGACTGGTGGATTCGAACTGCCGAACTTTTGGTTAGCAGCCTGAGCTCTTAACCACTTCGCCACCAGGGCTCCAAGTAGTTATGAAGTCAACACAATTTGGAATGAATTCATAAATAAATAATCCCTTGCACTTGGAGAAAGACTTTCAGTATAGAAAATACTTGCACGATTTCATTTGATTCTCATAGCATCTCTGAAGTAAGCAGGGCAGGCATTACCTCTCTTTAGAAAGGAGAAGCCGAGGCTTAGGGCAAGGGACTTGTCTAGGGTCACCCAACAGAGAGGTAGCAGGTTGGACAACTAGATCTTCTTAAGCCTAGTTCAGTGTTTTGTTTTTGTTTTATGCTATTATTCTGATTAATTACTACAAATAGTTGACTGGGAGTAGGTAAATGCTTTGGCAGGCAACTAACTCAGTAGTAAGACCTGGCCCTGAGCTTCTGTTTTTCAAGGATTATATAGCATAATCACTAAGGTAAATTTCTTTATCTGTAAGTTGGACACCTCTAGAATAAACCCCATGATTCCCTGATACTCAACTGGCTTGAACTGGTCTTAGCTGGTCTCCGGCCCACCCACCCCCAATGGGAGCTTTGTGTGCAGGGCCAAGACCCTGACTGGAATGTAGCCCAAGGGTTTTTAGCATTTCTGTCCTGAGAACTGATTTTTTATCATTCCCATTTTAGATTTCACATGCAATCATAATTTTAAAGTTGAGCTGACTCTTGACTACAGAGGTCAGCCTTGGCCTCATGTCTTCAGAAGTTCTGTGAACAGAAATAAACCACGGTCAGGGAAGGGCTCTGTCCTCTCCTCTGTTTTCCTTCACAAGGCAGCTCAATTGGTAGGATGGGAGCATCTTCCTAAAAGTTTTGAAAATGTGTTGGATCTGCAGAGGTTTATTCTCAAGGGCTTTCAAAATGGACCTCAGCCTCACCTAAACTTAATACCACCCTGTCTTCTTTCTTTGGTCTCTTTCATCCTTAAGGGAGCCCATGGATTCATCTGCCATCACGGCCAAGGTTTCCAACTACTTGAGTTCCCAGGGAGAGAGAATAAAAAGTCAAATTTATTAAATTTCACATCAATTGACTGATTTTCATCAGCCTCCCACCTGGTTTCTTATAAGCACCCAATCCTGTTTTCACCGAAGAATGTGCTTAATATCATGGGTTGCCCACATTATCAGAGACTTCCTCTTTAAGAGATTAAATGATTGGCTAGCTGACATTTCTGATTGGCTATCTAAATTTCATAAAATACCTGAGGGTTGCATCATTTCACTTGATATGAAGTGAATTGG